CTCTCTCCCTTATAACAAAAAAATGCTACTCACATAATCATCTTTTTTTGTTCCATAAGCAGCTATGTAGTCCACATGCTTCTCTAACAACAATGTACCTGGTGCATCATTTTTTATTGCAACATCTTTTTGTGGTGTTCCCTTAAGAAAAAAATAATTGGTCAATGTAATTTTCAATAGTTGTTCAAAGCCCAAGTTTTTTTTAAAAAAAAACATATTAAAAATGTCTTCAACAGATGAAGGAAATACCAGTACACACAGACATTTGCATATTTCAAAGGTCTAAAGCAGCTCTTACACACACATTGCTACTTTATTTCACAAACATCACTCCCTCGATTTGACAAAGCAGTTTCAGTAGACATTACAGTCATTTCTACCAAAAAAACCTATCACGTCAGAGGTTTTCTATAATCTCTTGAAGAAGAAATACTAAATATATAATGAATAAAGAACATAGTTCTGAAATAGTGTTTCCTATTCATGCTGCATAACTTGTAATATGCATTATATGTAATCTGCTTAATATTTCTTCTGCAGGAAATTCTAAAAGCCTTGTTACAGTAAATTCACAGCACCAGCAATAAAATGACCTAAAGTATACATTTCATGACACCGAGAATAATTAATCAGAACAACTGCTTAGCGTGCATTCAATGCACATAAGAACAAAATGTTCTAGAACATGTTTTGAACATCCCTATATCTACCATTTTACCATATTTTCCCTGCTGTTCCCTACAATGCCACTCAGTCCCCCCCCCCCCTGCAAAAGTCAAAGATATAGGGTTTGCTGGTGATCCACAGAAGGGAGATAGTAGGCATTTGTATGCATGGGTAGGAGCATGCACTGGGGGGGGGGGGGACACAGGGTAAGAGGAAGCTATTCAAGGCACCATTCTGTCTCGCTGACCTACCTCCTGACAAGCAGCAAGCCAGTTTCCCCTGGGGCAATATCAGTGCAGGCAAAGCATGTTATTCTAAGTATAATGCTTAGAACCCAGAAGCATCAGTTCAAGCATGACAGGCCAGGACTTCAGGGTTAAAGTGCCTCTTGTGGAACCGGTTCAAGAAGCCATGGGGAGTGTCATTATCCTTGACCCAAAGTCCTCATGACTACAGTGGAAGGATATGGTATATCCCTCTTAAACATTAGTACATGCTTGGCAAGGAGGAGCCTAGGCAGCATGCAATTTGACTTCTTTAAGCCTGAAGCCAAGATGGGTCTCAACTAGAATGCAGGGATAAAGACAGAAGAGACCGGAGTCTTCTGAATCCCATCAGTTGCACTGTGATTAACTATGGAATCAATTTTTCTCTTGGATGCAGCACCTGCATCTTGTTAATAAAATAAAGCTGGCCCTTAATTATCCTAACTAATGTTATAATCTCCTCCTATTTGCATTCCTCTGCAAAAAGCAAAAAAAAAAGCTCTAACAGTGTCAAAAATGCAAGCTGATTGGCAATAACCCCTACCATTCTCAGTTAATTGGACTACTTGCCTCTCCATTTCAAACATTCATATAGACTTTTATGTATTTTTTGTATGAACTAAATGGGTTTCTCCCAGAAGTTGAAAAAACCCACCACAGTTATTATAAACCTAGTGCTATTTAAACACTATGTCTAACCATGGTTGCAACACAGAGGCAGGCCATGGCAAACCACCTCTGAACATCTCCTGCCTTGAAAACCCCCACAGGGTCACCATAAGTCAACTGCAAATTGACACCCTTCCTCTGGAAAAATTTAAAATCGCAAATGGCCTGTATCCAATCACACATGACAACATCTTAACCTTAAGGAAGGTGCTGCGATTTCTACCATTCTACTCCCTGCCTCAATATTTCTCTCCCCCCAACCTGTCAGATGCAGCACAAGGAAGTCCTGTATTTCTCCATTCCTGAACCAAGGCTTTGAGGAGAAGCACTTGGCTTCCTCCTGTTATATCCTGGCAGGTGATGGGGCATTGTACCTGCTCCAGCTCTGCTCCACCAAGCTGATCTGTGTGCTGCTGCCCCAGTACTCCTTCTCCTCCCTTGCTCTTAGCTGACTGATAGGCCTTGCTTACCTGGTCCTGGATCCTTCTCCACAGAACAGAATCTAGCTCAATAACCCATTTTTTTGTATGGAAGCCAATCACAGGCCCAATCTTCCCAGTGGCCCCTTTTGCACCAAGGGAAACTCAGGATCACTGCCATGACATGTAATGGACCTAGGACAATAATAGAAGCTTTGGGGTTTCCCAAGTTTTCTCAGTTGCTAGACTCTTCCTTTATAATGATTTAATCTTTAGAATCAAGCACATACCACTCTATTCCTCCCTGAAGTACTTTACTTGGGCAAGAACGGCAAGAACAAAGGAGAACCACATGGTTCTAGGACTGCTAGGAAACACCTACCAGTTTTGTGAAGAAATGCTTGACTTTGTCACGTGGATATGCTGACGCACCAGAACAAGAAGCTGTTAGGGTGGGGCTTTGTTTTGTTGCAGACTAAAACAGCTGTGCATATGGGCCAGCATATGGGCCAGCCTAGACCCTATAGCTCCACTCATTAAGATGGTCTTTTTTCATCTTTTACTCATATAGTGCCATTCACTGTACTGCACAAGCTTACCAGATGAACAACTAAAATGTCCTTAAGAAACAGCTAAGGAGTTATACTGTGCATTTAAAATAAACCAAAACCCCTTTAAAGTAACTACATAATAGCAATTTAATAAAACTGCTAAATAACGAGTTATAGTCTAATGATAATGTAGTGGAGTAGACCGTATCAAACCCTATTTTAGAAATGGAAATCTGAGACTACCCACTACATCCATAGAAGAGCAACCACTGGGAGCTTTATTCACGAGTTCGAGCTTGCTCTAACTCCTAACGGAAGACAATAACATGGTGTGTACAGTTTAAACGAAATCGTTCCGTACCCATAAAAATGGGGGAGGAGAGCAAGGGGCAATGTAATTCGCGCCTTGAAAACGCAGGAAACTCGCGTTACTCCCAAGACTGCGTCAGACCAACGGAGTTAGCCACGTGGTTCCTTGAGCGAAGGGAAGCTTAGGCCATACGGACAAAAGCGTTTCAAATACTTTACCCCGCCCCTGAACTAAGCAGTTCACATGACCAATCACCACCCGACCTATCATCCTAAACCTAATCTTTCCGTTAACTGGATCCCTTACTTTTTTGCTGCCTACGGCCGCCGACTCCTACTATCACGCGCCTGATCCCCCAAACACATTCACACGTAACGGGTTTAGACAAGGCTTATTCCCTCAGCCCAGAGAACCAGAACGGGGAGGGAGAACACAGTACCATACACGTACGCAAAACAAACCCACTTTTTAAAAAAACCCAAAAACCCAGAGAGGCCAACTACCACTCACCATGTTCACACATCCGCCGCGCCCAGCTCAGTACTCACTGCGCATGCGAATGGTAAGGAGCGGAAGGCAAGAGACGAACGTCCACCTCTTCCTTTTCCTGCATGTGAAGACCTTTGTGCTGTTGTCTTCGGAAGTGCCTGCCCAGACGTTTCTTGCTTGATTCAAAGCATTGTGCGCATCCGTTTCCGGCGTCTGCTGTGCTATAGGGTATCGGCAGGTCTGCACTCGCCATGAAGTCTGCCACTCTCGACTGGGATTCCGAGTAAATGGGGTTGCGTGCCTTATCTCTAACACAGCCCTTTTCTGCTTTATACCAGTGCCGATGTCATGGGAAGTGCCGGGTAGGTCGGACGGTCCGACTCGGACCAAAGGGCTGTCTATTCCAACAGCCTGTCTCGCATGCTGGCCAGGCAGGCAGATGCCTCCTGCACTATTTTCACTGCATCAACTGGCAGCGAAGTATACTGCTTCTGGGTATGGAGGTTCCTTTACGCTAACATCGCTAATCGTCGTTTAAGATGACTATCCTCTGTGGATTTGCCTCGTTCCTCGTTGAAAACCACCGGTGCCGTGGCAATCACTACAGCCTGTGGCTATGAATTCAAAACATTTTCTTACGTTCTGAATCTACAACCCATCAACTTTATTGGATGCCCACAAATTCTTGTACTTTGGGCGAGGGCCGAGGGAGAATAAAAATCTATTCACTTCCCCCCCAGTCTGTATAATCTTATAAACCTTTATTAAGTCTCCTTAATCCTTTATTAGGAAGATATCTAATTCCCTCAGGGCACACATTTATTTATTTATTGAATTTCTACCCCGCCCTTATGTTCCTTCCCTCTTAATCAGTAACAATATATTTAAGGTAGGCTAGTTGTTGAAGCCTACTCAGAAAGCAGAACCACAGCCATATTCAGTCTTCCTCTTAGCTCTTCCTGGGGTCTGGGTAAAAGTCGGATCTAAATGGATCCTCACGAATTCATATGATTTTTACACTGAAACGAAATAAAACCACCATCATATTGTAGGCCATGTGTTAGTCTACAAGGGGCACCACAAAAATCACACACCCACAGATTCGTGGCACCACAGCAGCACAAAAACATGATTCCAAAGGACGGATCCTCATGAATTCATATGGTTTCTACGCTGGAATGAAATAAAACCTACATCATACTGTAGACCATGTCTTAGACTGTAGGCAGCACTCCAAAAATCATGCCCCCATGAATTCGTGGCTCCACAAAACTGCAAAAACATGGTTCCAAAGCACGGATCCTCATGGATTGAAGCACGGTGAGAGAGGAGTCTTTGTCCAGACTAAGAGACCACACCAGATTCTTCAAGAGGAAAAAGCTTTATTATTGGCGCCAGGTTCGACCTGCACTGCAAGGTGCTCTGAAATGGCCGAACCCTGAGCTATGCAGTAACAAAGAATTTATACCAGTTACAGGGTACACGTCATACAAGCCAAGCACTTAGCAGTGGAATTTTCCTTTAAAAACTTTTTTTTTTGTTAGAGGAAACATCTTTTTTTTGTGTGCCCCATCTCATCTCTTTTGCATTATAAGCTAGTTAGTGGATATACACCTGTGTCTTTGAAGCTTAACCACAACTGCTGCCGGGGGCCAATTTCGACCGCAATGGCTGACAGCAGTGCTACACTAAATAGGTCATGCTCAGGTAGGAATAGGAAAGAAGGTGGGGGGTTGAGGTCTTGTCTAGGAGAGGGCTAGCTGTATTTTTAATATTTTATTTTAATATCGCTTTAGGATCCTCAGGGTTTTTCAGTTGGGTCACCCGAAACACACCATCAAATCATATAACATGTCCACAGCCACAGCTTGCACCACAAAAATCACAGATTCACAGCTTTGTGGTGACACCATTCTGTAAAAACATGATTCTGAAGCACGGATCCTCATGGATGTTTGGGGTTTTTGTGTTGGGACACCCCAAACATACCATTAAATCCCATATCATGTCCATGGCCACTACTTACACAACAGTATTAAGGGGGGTTCCTGGGCATCGTGGCAACACCATGCTGCAAAAACATGGTTCCAAAGCACAGATCCTTGTGGATCCTTGGGGTTTTTCAACTGGTTCACCCAAAACACTCCATCAAATCACATAACATGTCTACAACCACAGCTTGCACCACAAAAATCATAAATCCACGGCTTCGTGGTGACACCATTCTGTAAAAATATGATTCTGAAGCACAGATCCTCATGGATGTTTGGTTTTTTTGTGTTGGGACACTCCAAACATACCATTAAATCCCATATCATGTTCATGGCCACAGCCTGCTTCACAGAAATCACGGTACCACGGCTCTGTGGCAACACCATGCTGCAAAAACATGGTTTTGAAGCACGGATCCCCATGGACCCTTATGATTTTTGCATTGCGTCACCCCAACATCACCATCAAATAATAGGCCTTGTCCATGGCCACAGAATGCACCACAGAAATCATATGTCCACTGCTCCGTGGAGACCCCATTCTACAAAAACAGGAGATTCGAACAGCCATTATGGCTGTTCGCTATAGATGTTACTGCAGGCGTTGTACAGCCTGCGCCACCACTCCCAACATACCATTAAATCCCATATCATGTCCATGGCCACAGCCTGCACCATAGAATTCATGTTGCCACGGCTTCGTGGCAACACAATGCTGCAAAAACATGATTCCAAAGCACGGATCCTCAAGGTTTTTGTGTTGGGTCACCCCAACATCACCATTAAATTACATACCTTGTCCATGGCCACAGAATGCACCACAGAAATCACATGTCCACGGCTTCATGGTGAAACCATGAAGCCAAAATATGGTTCTGGAGCATGGATCCTCATGAATGCTTTGGGATTTTGTGTTGGGACACCCCAAAGATATCATTAAATCCCATACCATGGCCATGGCCACTACTTACACCACAGTATTAATGGGTCACGGGCTTCGTGGCAACACCATGTGCAAAAACATGGTTCTGAAGCACGGATCCTCATGGATCCTCAGTGTTTCTGTGTTGGGTCACCATGTACTCACCATCACATCACATATCATGTCCATGGGCACAGCTTGCACCACAAAAGTCATGGATCCATGGCTTCGTGGCAACACCGTGAAGCCAAAACATGGTTCTGGAGCATGGGTCTTCATGGATTCTTGGGGGTTTTGTGTTGGAACACCTAAACATACCATTAAATCCCATATCATGTCCATGGCCACTACTTGCTCCACAGAATTCATGGATCCATGGCTTTGTGGCAACATGCTGCAAAAATATCGTTCCAAAGCACGATTCCCATGGATTCTCAAGGCTTTTGTGTTGGGTCACCATGAACACACCAACAAATCCCATCTGATGTCCATGGGCACAGGTTGCACCACAAAAGTAATGGATGCACTGCTTCGTAGCAACACCATGAAGCCAAAACATGGTTCTGAAGCACGGATCCTCATGGATCCTCAAGGTTTTTGCAATGGGACACCCCAAACACATAATTAAATCAGATATCATGTTCACGGGAACAGCTTAAACCACAGAAATCATGGATCCACAGCTTCATGGCAACACCATGAAGCAAAAACGTGTTTTGGAAGCATGGATCCTCTTGGATCCTCAAGGTTTTTGCAATGGGGCTCCCCAAACACACGATCTAATCACATTGCCGCTCGACCATCACACGTGAGAGGTCATTCTGGCTCCCCCAGATCTTGTTAGGGGCTCTTTAAAAAGTTATGGTTGTCCGCCGCCGCGGCAGCGCTAATGGCAGCGGCAACGGTGTGGGGAGGGGCGTGAAATGTTCCCCCGCCTCTCTGAGCCCCAGTGTGGTGGCCTTGGAGTCCTAGGGGCAAATTCCACCTCTCGCGTGTGATGGCCGAGCGGCATTGCACAAGAGGTCATTCTGGTTCCCCCAGATCTTGTTAGGGGCTCTTTCAAAAGTTATGGCTGCCGGCGGCGGCAGTAGCGCTAATGGCAGCGGCAACGGTGTGGGGAGGGGCGTGAAATGTTCCCCCGCCTCTCTGAGCCCCAGTGTGGTGGCCTTGGAGTCCTAAGGGCAAATTCCACCTCTCGTGTGTGATGGCCGAGCGGCATGTAAGACACAGGCTTCAGGTTCTCTGCCAGAATACCCAAGTTAAGGCTCTACGCTCCGGTTTGGCAAATCAGGCAGAAGTGCTTTTATTATCAAAAAACAACAAAGGCAACCTCAATTAACAATACTTCAAGGAAAAAAGGAAATTCCACGTCCTTCAGGGGGTTGCAAACATACAAAGAGTAATTAAAATCAACTGGAACTTACAATGACTCCACAAGGTAGGAAAACATCCTGCCCACCAGACGCGTGCTCCCCCCCCTTTTGCTATTTTCTTTGGAAGGACCTGTTAAGACGCTGCCCCTCCCTGTCTCCAGGGATTTTTGGAGTGCTGCCTATAGTCTAAGACATGGTCTGCAGTATGATGGCGGTTTTATTTTGTTTCAGCGTAAAAATCATATGAATTCATGAGGATCTGTGCTTTGGAATCATGTGTTTGCGCTGTTGCGGTGCCACGAATCTGTGGATGCGTGATTTTTGTGGTGCCCCCTATAGATTAACACATGTCCTACAATATGATGGTAGTTTTATTTCGTTTCAATGTAAAAATCATATGAATTCATGAGGTTCCATGTAGATCCGACTTTTACCTTTTTCCGTTGTGGTGCCACGAATCTGTGGGAGCGTGATTTCTGTGGTGCCCCCTATAGACTAACACATGGCCTACAATATGATGGTGGTTTTATTTCGTTTCAATGTAAAAATCATATGAATTCATTAGGATCCATGTAGATCCGACTTTTACCCTTTTCCCTCTTCCTGGCCTGCAGGAGTGCAGGATGCTTGTCATTTCTTCAAGCTGAATATTTCTTAAATATCCCTCTGTCTGTCAAAGGAAAACCAATGGTCACGTAAGCCAATCTGTCTCTTAAAATCTGCAGTCTTACATTGAAAGCTAAAAATGCCAGCCTGGACACTCTTCTCTCACAGAATAAGCTGCCAAACGGCTGTCTCTCCTGACTAAAACACTTCCTGCTTGGCTCCTGTGGGACTTTTCCTCAGTAGCTGTTGCTAGACAACCATGCTTGGTTCTGTCAGTAAAAAGGCAAAGGCAGGAAGCGCTTTCCAGGCATTTGTGGGAAGCTCATTGGGGCCCGTCCTGACTAGGGTTGCCAGCTCCAGGTTGGGAAATTCCTGGATATTCTGCGGTGGAGTCTATGGAAGCCAGAGTTAGGGGAGAGGCCTCAGCTGAATAGAATGCCATAGAGGCCACCCTCCAAAGCAGTTATTTTCTCCGGGGCAGGGGAAGAGATCTGTTATCTGGAATTCAGTTGTGATACCTGGCAATCTTCAGCCTCCACCTGGAGGTTGGCTACCCTAGGTGTAGCAGTTAGTGCTTCAGAGCAGCATCTGCCAGACCCAGGTTCTTGCTGTGGAAGCTGAGTGGGTGATTTCAGACCAGTTACAGACCTTCAGCCTAACCTACCTCACAGGATTGTTGTGCAGATCAAAAGGAGGAGAGGAGAATGATGTAAACTACTTTGGTCTCCACTGCAGAGAAAGACTGTACTTTTCATCTTGGGGAACCATTGCTGCCAATCTCCAGGTGAGGGCTGGAGATCACTCATAATTAAAACTGCTCTCAAGATGGCAGAGATCAGCTCCCCTGGAGAAAACGGTAAGCTGTGTGTCATTATTTCCTGCTGTGGTCACCACAGCAAATTGACGTTGAGTGCCGAAGGCCAGGGCACTTGCCCAGAGCCTCTTTCTAGAGCTTGTATTTATTTCCACAACGGGCCTTATTCCTAGTAAATCTAATAAATAAATAAATAAATTTTTCTTGTATCAATCATGAAAATCCATTTCTAGTGCAGGGAAAAAAATCAAAATTATAGTTGAACAAGAAAGGGGACCCGCGATACTCGTGGGGACGGGAGGCGAGGGGAGGGGGAAGAGCTCAAGGCAGAGCAGGAAGAGGAGGAAGCAGCAGCAGCAGGTAAGCTTCCCCCCCATCCCCGATTCCCCCCCCATCCCTGGTCTCCTACACACACACCCTCCACCACCACCCCTTGTTTCCTCCACCTCCCCGGCTCAGGGGGTG